GTGAGCTAGACTTCCTCCCCAGCAGATGAACCATAGAATTTTAAAGGCTGTTTATGTCAACTTTGTGCAAGAAAAACAAGAACTGTTGGAAAAAACAGATTTAGAACCAGCATTCAGATGCACTTTCAGAAAACTTAGCAGGGGTTCTATCTATTTGCAGAACAGAAAAGCCAAGGTATCCTGAAATTTAAAAGAGGTATATTATGAGGCCCAAAGAACTAAAAATGATAGTGGTAAAAACTTATTAAATGTTTCACCACAAAAGTCCACATACAAGCGTCTTTGTGATCCAATTCAGTGTGGTTTGAGCCAACTTCATTTTCTGAGATTTAGATGTTCTCTGACAAGATTTAACTGTGCAGCAAGTCCTTAAAGACACTAAAATTAGTTCTTACTACATTTATATACTAAAGCTTACTAATCAGAGGTCTTGGGACATCAGATAGGCTGAAATACTCATGTGGGCAAAAGCAGATATATGTTACTATTTTAATAGCTATGGTGGTTTGAAGGAAATACTCTTGCAAATATTATTTGGGTTATTTATCAGACACTGGAGAATTTTTTTCTTGGATGAGTCATAAAAACTACAGGACATTTGCCAAAACACAGACCAAGGTTATATAGCAAACAAAGCAGCTTAAAAAAAAAAAATTAAAAAAAAAATCTCTTTTCATATGGTGGAAGTATATGAAGCCATGAAACTTCTCGGTATCACACTTAGAAAATTATATTACTTAGAAGTTCATGAAGTCAATATAATTTGACAGCAAACAGGCCCTTGCCAAGACAGAATCCACTACTAGTTTAAACTGACATTCATCTACTAAGAGATTCAACTAGATAAACAGAAGCAAGTTTCTCACATTTTTCAGGAGACATTTCGTGTCTCAGGTGATCCCTTGAAAGTACAGCAGAGCACTGAAACACCTGGATGACTACTTCCACATTACAAGAGAAGCATTTCGTAAACACACTTGCAACTTTTGAGACTGACATGCTCAACATTAATAACAGCAATTGTCTACTGCAAACCTCAGGGATGGTGAAGGTTGGACCTGATAAGAATATTCCTCTTCCCCTTTAACGATAACAGCTCAACCACACCCCACAGATCAAAAATCTGATAATGCCTAAAGAGGCACTTCCTAAGGTCAGTCCAATGATTGAGTGTCCACATCATTTATTACCTGAGAAATAACTTTGTACTACATTACACCAGATACATTATTCGGCTTCAGCACACAGCAAAAATCCCCACTTGATTACCCACAAAAAAGCATCAACATAACCATTTCCCAATAACAGCTACTCAGCCTTCAAGGCACTCGTGAACTTCTGACAAAATGCAGTACAAAATGGCAAGATACTGTACTTTCGTATAGGCTCCAGTAAAGCTACTAACATCCACCAGCCATTCAGCTTGCATCAACTTGCTCTAACATTTGCCAGTAATTACATTAAACAGAACAGATAGGAACTTAAATATAAAGCAAGAAATGTTTCTACTTGTTACAAGTTCTGAAAAAAACAGCAGCGGTCCCTGTACTTGGCTGCCACGTACATGCTCTGTGGATGCTATATACCTGCAGCACTTGATCACAGGTAAGAGAATTCCGAGTCAACAATTTCAGGACAATCAGATCTATATCCATTAACTGTGTACATCTGTCTCTGCCTCCTCACTCAATTCAGACTTGACCTCTTCATGATTTTTCACAACTCTTAAGACGGAGAGTGATTCTTATTAACCAACCTGGAACATTTCCTGTGCCTTAAACACCTTTAAAGGAATATTAACATGCTTGCAACTGTGCAATCTAAAGCTAGAACAACTAACACTGGGCAGAACAAAGACCACATACCATACAACATTTTGCATTACTCTTCATATAAGGATTATTTTTTTCTGTTTTGAGACAACCAACAGCAAGGACAAAAGTCCTGGTTCTTGCCTGGTTTTTGCCTTCTAAGTAGTTGGTGTTCTTAAGCTACTATGATTTTTTTTTTTTCCACCATGATAAGGAAGGCAAAGATACTTCTACCCCCCTGAATAAAACACTTTAATTAAAGCAAGCTATAAAAAGACACAGCAGCACTAGAATTTGACATTCATGCTCACTTGAGCTAAATCCATTAAACAAAATACACTCAGATAAAGATTTTGAAGTGATTATTACCAAACCTATCAGCAAAATAAAATAAATCTACATTGAAAAAAATTCCTTATTATTTAAACTCCAGGAACTTTCATAAAGTAGAAATAAAGATGTCACAAGTTGTTACAGTTCATAAACTGGAAGATTGTAGAGATTGAAAGACCAGAAAGAATCTTAAAGGACATGCAGAATTCTGCCAACACTACATTTTTGCTGAAGAAATCCTAGGTTCATGCTCTTCAAGGTGGATTTCAAGTGCTAGTGAGCAAATAGTACTAACTCAGTTGGATAGCGAACTGTTTGCTGCGTCAAAGCTTTTTGCCAAACACATATATATAATTTTTCTTTTCACTATATGGATAATCAACCCCAGATGGCAATTTACATAGGCAACAGCATAAAGGAATCCATGCACTGCTGGTGCTCTCAGCCTCAATCAGAGCAAGCATGGGCGTTTGAGAATGTCACTGTTTATTTTTAATTGCTGTGTCCCTCCTTTGTGCAGGTTCAAGCGGTCAAAGATGTCGAAGTCCATTAGTAGAACTGAAGGTGATGCCACTTCATTTGGCAAGAGGGTTCTTCAAATTTAAAAAGCAGCTGGTTTGTAATGTCCCTAAATGCCCAGTGGGCACCAGCTGTCAATCTCAGTTACCATAGGGTCAGGGCAAAAAAAGGTCACAGAGAGTCATAAACCACAATATGTTGTGAAATGTGCTTCCTCCATTACCTTGTAGGCCTGAGAAAGGTTTGACCTTTTATAGGTATCCTAACCCAACTCTGTATGATGCTAGCAGGGGCAAGTACAACACAACTCAAACTTACAAAAGTTTCTTCCTTTTACTGCGCCTTGGTTTCCATACCTGTACAATATGAATAGTCACAAGCTGCTAGTGGCAAAACCAAAAATTCAAAACTCCACCCATCACTATTACCATTCAGAGGCATGAGCACATCTTCTATTTCACACGAGACAGTGGAAGGATTAATTCATTAACAGCATTGAAAACTACTAAAACTTTGAGGGAAATTGTTAATGCCATAAAAGCCAAGTGATCTGGCTTCTCTTTGTCAATGACAAGTTTATCTGCTGACTTGCCTTTCATTTCACTTCCCAAGTGACTTTTCTCCCAATCACTTGGGAAGAAAGCATCTTTGAAGTCCCACTTAACGACTTTTCTACTGTCTTTTTAAACACCTGTTTACAATGTGCAAGTTATTCACTGTATTTTTGTCATTTTCTCCTTCATGCAGATTCCCAAAGAGCAGACTAGTTCCTAAACATGTTTCTCCAAAACATTCTTGGACTATACATGAAAAGCAGAACAGTAATTTCCAGATATAATCTAGTTATGCATTCTTTCTTTGCAAGAAATAATTACTCTGCTCTGTCTCACCCTCATCTCCCAGATCACAAAGCAACAGGAAGTTTTGGCCAGTGCTATGTCAGAAGAAAAGCAGTAAACTAGCTGTGCCAAGCCTTGCTGGGCAGGAGCCATGAAGCATTCATCAGCCTTGTACTCCAAACTACTTGTCCCTCCTTGTGCGGGCAGGGCCAGGACACCAAGCAGGATCCAACAGAAAAGGGAAAGAACACTGGCAAGGGGAAAGCAGGAGAGGTTGAAACCAGAGCTACAATCCCAGCAAAACATACTCCCTGCAGAAGTTACAGGCATGACTCCCAGAATAGGCTGCATGCTGCAAATGAGAATAGGGGCAGTGAGGTATTCCACTGGGAAAGAAGACATCATGGGGTGCTTATTGTGCAAATCACTTTATGCAAAAGACAATACAATATAATTAGACGGCCACAGGTATCATAGAAGATGCTGACTGAAAATTGTCAGCTATCAGCAAAATATTTCAGGTGAAATCAGAATGCCTCACCTAGTCCTTCACTTGCCCACAAAGTACAGGCAAAGATGAGAAAGCAGTATGTTCACTCAATGAAAGAGTAAGGTCCTTATAGTAGCATGACTTAAGGATAATACTGACAGCACCAAAAGGGTCCCATTCAGATTCGTTCAGCCAAAAGCAGCCTACTCTCAGAATGTAACCAGCTGGGTCAACTTTAAGTGGCAGCTGCAAAACACATCACAAGTCTTGACTAATTTTGGGTAATTAATAAAAAGGGAAAGTCAGAGCAGTCCAAATCAGCATCTGTCAAATAGGCTTCACTTGTTCCAGGCATAAAGTCACCTTGTTTTCTTTCAAAGGATGAACATACTTTAAGGAAATTAAATAGCAACGACAGTTAAGCAGTTCAAAGGCCACTGAAAGGCCTCTTGACTTTCTACAGGTTTTCTAAAAAGTCCAACAGCAGCAAGCCACCTACTGCATCCCAGCAGTTCTCCCAGAACATGCTGACATCAATTAAAGCCCCAGCAAACAAAGAGAATGTGTATCAAGCTTCAATGTCCTCTTCTTGGGATTTCCTTCACTTCCAGACATCTTGGGAAGCCTACCTACTCAGATTCTTTTGCAAGCCTTCTCACTGCAGCACATCTCAAATGAAAGCAACCTCACTTAAACCTTGTTAAGTCCTTGGGCACATCCTATCTTGGAAACATACCTACCTTACCTTTCTGAATTTGAAAGTCTAACGTGGTAATCTAGGTCAGTCTTCTCTTCTTCATTCAACTAAAATTGAGCAGGTAACTTTACTGGCTGCCTTATTTAAAAATCTCTATGTCTCTTCCCATTATAAGCTCGCTTATAGTAGACTACAAAAAAAGAGGCACTGAAAATAATTGAATAATTTTAGATTTGAAGAGAACACTCTCTTCTTTGTTACATGTCTCATTCTATCAGGAAAACTGGGGGGAGTGAAAATGAGAGACTCACCTTCAGGGCAGGAATCTCCACATTGTCACCAAGGCTAACAGAGCCAGAAAGAATAGTCCCTGTCATCACCGTGCCTTGACCCTTAATAGAGAAACAATGGTCAACTGCCATAAGGAAGTGTCCCGAGGGGTCTCTTGATGGCAGGTAAGCCTGAGACTTCAGGACCTGAAAAAAAAAATAAAAATAAAAGTAGCACCATGCCTGGGTGAAAAGTCATGACAGCCACACAGCAAAAGGAAGGTAAGCAGATGATTGATTGAACAAGCTTGCAGTTTTACTGATTTCAGGCATCTCCCAATGAGGTTAGAATGCACCAACGTCAAATTAACCGTGTGTGCCATAGAAGAGACGCGGACTTAGCAGCAGGAACAGTTTGATTTTCTGCCTTAGAAAGATTCGGTACTGCACATTGAGCTTGGTTAGCAAAACTGCACTGGTGACAAAGTTGCTGCCAAACTCAATATAAACACTGCAGCAAAGAAAAAAATCCTGTACCCATCCCTGCCCCCCCCCCCCCCCCCACCCCTCCTTAAAAGTACAATTTTTACAGTGCATTTTTTGCTACTTCAGCTTTTCTGGATTTTGTGAAAATTAACTTGTATACAGAAATTAGTGCCCCATAAAGCCCACCCCTGCCTCCCTCCCAGAAGAACTATTATACTCTGTTAAGTTTTCAAAGTCGACTTCCCCTTCAGATTTCTGTTAACACTTCTTGGAGAATCAGACCACTAAAAAAATAGCTTTGTAAGTACCATTTTCTAGAGAAATTCTCCAAGTTTAGGTTTTCTGGTTTACTGACAAATACTACATTTCTTAAAATATATCAACATGCACAGGAGACCTTAATTATAGAAATGCAGTCATGTACCCAACTGAGCTTCAGAGAAACTGGTTCACCCCTGTCTCAAATCACTTTTGAACTCTGTCTCCATTACAACATCAGCGTATAAACTCTGCACTGCCTTTAATGTCTGCTTTTAAGGTTAGAAACTGCAGGTTAAGCCAAAGCTGTAATGGCAGAACAATGAAGAGTCTCTCTTAACAAGGACAGAAAAGATAATACCTTGAAGCTCAAAGGCAGGGCTTGCAGCATTTGCCAGCTCTTCTAATATTAGGTCTCAGAGTTGACAGAAATAGGTGCAACATAGGTATTTCCTCCAAAGGTTTTAACCCTGGTAAACATCCCAGTAAATCTACCTAGAACCAGACAAAGGCAGAACTAAGGACTTGCCTGTCTCCACCTCTCTAGACATTGCTGTGGGCAGCCTAGTTCTTGCCAAGTCTATTCTAAGGCCATACCACATCATACCACACACACCCCCCCATGCCCACCTCAGGCCACACATGCCTGGAAGGTGGCACAATATTCAGTGTTCAGCAGCTACATGGAACATCCTGCCTTGTACAAGCCAGGCTGCCCTGGGCCAGACATACCTAGATTTTTGATGACTGGTTCTGCACACTAACTTCAGCAATTTAAAAGTATTTTAAACCTGGCAGCACCCAAAGCAGACCTCAACACACCTGCAAAGAATGATGCCTTTGTTTTAGGACTACTTTCTGCTGCCTGCAAGTAACGGTGGCACCCCTCCAGAGCAAAGATGCTACTTTTCCCTGAAGCTTATTCACAGAAAGAGTGACAAGTCTACCACAAGCTGCAAACTGCTCTTAAACAGCTATTTAAGTGTCCTGCCCAACACAGTACAAGCTTCATGCCATATAACTTCCTGCATAACTTAGTTTTTTGAAATCCTGTGAATTTATTCTCTCCCCAACCTGCCCCACCCACACACTCCCCCCCAAAAAAAAAAAAAAAAAAAAAAATCACACAAAAAAAAACCCTTACATTGCTGGAACTAAGGATACCTGTGAAGCATCAGTTGCAGTCTTCTATTATTCATGTGGGTCCAATATAATATTAGTTATACAATCATACCGTTTTCTCCAGGCCCTACCTCATTCAGGGTACAGGGTAAATCCAGGCCATGCTTTTTATCTTTCGCAGGTGTGCAAGGCATGCAGTAAGCAAGGCAGAGTACCACAGAGAAAGAGGATTTCATCATGAAGGCAGGTGGCGCTCCTCTAGAGAATGGATTCTACACTTGCTTATACTAGAACACCCATGTATTGTCATTCTCTTAAAAATGAAACTTTCCTCTGGTAATCACTGATTACACACCTCAGACTGTCCAAACAGAAACACCAAAGCTTAACAGAAGTGCTAAGCACTCACAATTGCCATCAAAATTGGCAGGTACTATGATCTGAATACAAGGATGTCCCAAAAGACTTCCTAGTTTCCTTAAATTTGGCAACCAAAACAGTAAACTCAGCGGACTTAACTTTGTGCCTCAGCTTCCCAATCTAAATATGGATTAAAGTCACCTCTACACTTCCTATAGGTCTTTTGGAAGTAAATTAACTGTTTGCCAAGTGCTCAAGACCACAGTGATGCGTGCCAAAGAAAAGTCCAGGAGGAAATTAATCATTCTGAATGCAGAGCAGTATTTGAATGGAGTCATGAGGCCACACAGAGAATGAGAATTACAACAAAATACAGACTACCTGCTCACTAGCTGAGCCCTGTCCATCCTGTGCAAAGAATGAGGTAAGGATTGTTTAGCATAAAGAGTCATGCACTTAAACAGTGGATCATAACACACACATGAAGGAAGAAGACAATTCCCAATGTATAACTTTGGAGTGCCTGACTTCACAACTTTACTGTTTTCTTAACTGTGGTACAATTATAAAAGAACACCTACCAAGGACTTGGTAGAATTTTAATTTTTATTCTTTGTGCTTCGTAATTCTTCACAACTTTAAAACCACACACATGATAGCTGTTTCTTAAGGCGTAGCTATTCAAAGGCATTGAAACCTAGTAGTTGAAAAAGGAGATCCACTTTTGGGGCACACAACCTCAGCTTCTCCAGGAACCCCTAAAGAATCAGGTTCCTTAAAACTGACATTAATGCAGGAGTTCCTCAGGTCTAGGTACTAATGCATTGTATTCCAAAAGACTTAAAAGTTTGAGTATGTTTTATGTTGTTATGTTCATCAGCAGGTACCTCAATTAATTCAGAAACACCTAGTGGATTCTCAGACTCTGGGGCTTCCGGTCCACCAGGCTTTGCTGCAACAGCAACAACAGGACACCCATAGAACCTGAAAGAGAGAAAGACTCCTACCATTAGATCACAGATCTCCTATGTGTCAGTGTAAAGTAGTTCCAGGCTCATCTGACAATGAAGGCAAGCAAATACCCTCAAATTCCAACCCATCTGCTCTTCCCCCAGAGTGAATAACTGACAATTTTTCTTGAATTACTAGCATCTGCACTACTGGACTTCACTATGAAATCTTCAGTCCTGCTTAGTATTAGCTACTGATTCAACTCTGTGGTTTATTTCAGAAGCAAAGGTCTGTTACTAGTCTTATTGCAACAGCTTTGCATTCAAGCCATTTTACCTGGAGACTAGAAACGTTTTCAACTTTAAAAGAATTATAATCCTAGCTGTACAGTCATAACCTTCAAAACAGGAGCCAAATGCACGATGGCACATGATGTCTACCTATGTCTGCAGGCAGACTGCAAGACCTGCAGACAACAGAAAGATCTAAATCTACTAAAATCAAAGCTCATGGAACACCCAAATCTCAAACACGCAAAGGTTCAGAAAAGAGGAGTAGTACTTCCACAGTTGAACTCAACTTAGCTTCTCCCTTACAAAGAATTTCATCTTCAAGTCCTTAAAATGAAGTTAGACTATAAATCAGATTATTGCGGAAATTTTGCAAAAGTCAGGATTAACCACGTAAAATATATATATATTAAAGCAATGGAATTGTAATCGGCAATAACACAAAAAAGTGATTGTTTCTATGAGGATACTTGATTCTTATGCAATAGATTCAGGACAAAAGTAATTATTGATGTCATCCTTTTGACATTCACCCCCCCCCCAGACTTTATCTCAAAAAGGGAGTGGAGGGAAAAAGACAGTGCCTCAATAAAGAACAAATGTTAAGTTCTACAGGGGGAGCTCATTTAGTGACCAAATAGTAATCAAGCACATAAGGTATTTGCTTTGTATATATGCTGTAAGTCTGAGGCATCTAAGGACAAAGGGTAATGAAAACATGCACTTAAGATTCCTGTGATTAAACATAAAACTTTTGGAAATCTCTTTTCATACAAATATTTTAGGGCACTGTACTGCAATAACAGAAATTTATGCGGAACCAGGTGCTTTACTCCTTTTCCCAAACACCAGAAAAAGCTGGAGTAACCATATACTGCCTTTGGAGGCATTTCCAAACATGATTCAGCCCTACTAAATCCCTTACTCCATCACACTGATTTATTGTCAGCAGAGTTTAGAGCCCGCTGGACAAACATAAAAGCTGGCACATGGAAAAAGTAATGAAAAAATATAAATTCCATTTTGTTTCTTTTTACTTTTGCTATCAACCCATGGAACAAGCAAATTTTGATTAGGTTAAATCTGCAAGTGTCAAACTATTAAAATATTCAACACTTTCCTCCACCTATTTTCCACCTTCCATGGAATCTCATGACAACACTACAATAATTTCCCCTACTCTATAGCTGCAACAGACTTCAAATTTGCTTACTGCTATGGAATTGTGCATGCATGCCTGTGTGGGTAGAAAAATAATAATCAAAAAGTAAACTATTCCTAGGAAAAAAACCTCATTGCTAAGTGTTTGGGGTCAGAGGCAGCTGTCAAATGTTCTCAGCACATGTCCTGCTAATAAGAGTAGCTTAGAAATACAAAACCAGTTAAGAAATGTGCATTTGGAAACGCAAAGTCAAGTGGGAAAGCGGCTGTCGAGAAACAACACATGCCTGAAATATAACAGACCAAGCACTTGACCATCAAGCCCAGGTTAGCACTGCTTTCAAAGCACCACAAAGCACAGACTGCATATGCAAAAACTGAATTTTTGTTAGGAGAACAATACACAGACAGATGCAATAAAAGAGCATTTCTAAGATCTAGAGTTCAAATGAGTAATTAAAACACTATGACAGGACCATTTCTCTCTAGGTGGAATCACAGCTTTATGATCAGCTGATACACACGCTTGTTTTAAAAGAGGGCTAGAGGTAAGGACCTCACAGTTCACATGTGAACTGCTTCAGAAACTCACTTCCCCCTCAGTTTTGACAAAGTCTGATACTTTTCAAGACATGCTGTAAAGACCTATCTGTACTCCTGGATATAAAGGGAAGACTTAATTCAAACAGTGTACATAAGTATTTCTGAATACCAGTTTCCTTCCAAAAACCTTGTCTTTCTTTTATGAATATGCAACTTTCTAGGTCTTTTTTTCCCCTGCAATCATTCACAATACAATCTTGGATTGAATCAAAAATGAAGTACCACCTGCAGCAGCAATTACTGCCATTCAAGAATCAACAAATTTTAAAAGGAGGACAAAAAACTGAGCAGTATATTAAGGTAAACTCTCTTAAGAAACATTAACTTCTTGGCCTAGATGAGAAAGAAAAAAAAAACTATTAATTGTAATACTGCTTAAAATTCACATTCTACATATCAACCTTTCAAACAACCAAACCAATTCGTAAGAAACCCATCAGATAATTGTCTCTAAAGTTTTCCTAACTTTATTACCTCAATGCTATGCCCATTGGGATCACCTGTGAATTTGATCAGAAACTCACATCCATAAAAAATTGTTGATCCAAAATGCTTTCATATATTACAGGTGTCTCCTTTCTCTAGCTCCCCTAAAACAAGAGGCAGCAACCTACAGAGAGAAAACCAAGCCACTCTGTATTTATTTGCCCTTAAATCAACAGCTACCAGAAAAAAAATGAAAGTTGTAGGATTCTAAATCCACAAGAGAGAACTTCACTTTCTTTGTGACTTCTGTTCCATTCTCAGCACAATGAATGGACCCAAGAACAACACGGGAGCTGGAAAAACACCAAGATCTTCATAGTCACTATTGTGGCAGCTGAAAAGGACATTGCCCTACCATCACAAATAAACTAAGCAGGAACTGCCATATCCAACCAAGTTTTGCTTTTTTGGTCCTGGTGAAATTCTCTCCTCTGTACACTGAATCCTATTCCTCCGATTCTTCAAATGAAACGTGACCCAACAGCTACAAACACGGGAGTCAATGCCCCCTTATGACCCTGGGCAGAGCTAGCTGTGCTTCGGTTCGTGTAACCACTAAATAAGTATTGTGTCTGTACTGTACCTTCCCACTTCATAACAGCCACATTTCCGCTCATGAATCTCACTGCTCTTCACTAAGTACCTTAATTCATTTACCTAAACATGACTGACAAACATCATCTCAGCCAGAGCTACATTATGTTTTATAAACTTCATCATTCTGGTCTCCCTACCTGGGGCAATTGCATTTTTCATCCTCAGTTAAGGAAAGGCCCTGACACTTTATTTTCTCTGGAGCAAAAAAGACTTGCAGATCACAACAAAGGTGCAAGCCCATAAATACTAAAAAACCCACACACACACAAAAAACCCCACACAAAACACAACAAAACCCAAACCAGAAATCCAACAAACAAAACCCAAAACAAACACGCACCCAACAGCAGTTCTTCACCTGAATATTCTGGCTTTGTTTTATCGTATCTGAAATCCAAGCAGCACTTTAAACCGAAAAGCTTCATTATAGGAAAATATTTCTCTACCCATGATACTTGCAGATGCAAATTCAGGGCTGCATTTGAGTTTCTGGTAATCTTTCCACTCTCTTATCTTTGCTAGACATCACAGTATGTTTAGAAGGGCACTGGAAGGGAAATGTGGGTGAAGTATTTTTGTTAAACATTTTGTTACAAGTTAGCTGTTAATACTACTGTTAACTTACTTAGTATTTTCCAAGGTCTTCTGCATTTTCTTAGTCATCTTCTCAATGGCACTTTGTCTCTTCCCCTCTGGAAGGAGATCTATTTTGTTCAGAACTACCACCATCTTCTGGCAGGCAATTTGCCCAATTACCAAGCACTCCGCTGACTGCGTCTGCATCCCTTTTGTCACATCTATTACAAGCATCATCAAATCAATAATCTGGGCACCTGGAGGAGAATTCACAGTCAGTATTACAGCAGCATGAAAAGATTAAGGATGATTTTCTCAAATAGCTTCCATAAAAACTGTCACTATATATACAAATGCCCAGAAATACAAACAAAACACAAGTCAAACTAAGCATCGATGCACGGCTGTGTTTGCAAATAAGACCCCAGGAAGTTAAGCTGTCCTATGCTACCAGTGGATCATAAAAAAATATGGAAGCATGTGATAGTTTACATATTCTTCCATATTAACAGTTCAGGTTTAGAGATATCATTGCATAAAAAAAAAAAAATCAGAAAATTACCCTTGGAGCAACATAAGCATGAAATTTGCCTCAATTAAAAAAAGATAATCTAAGCAGCTAAACAAGAGTATGGTACAGCCAAAGAAACATACAACAACATTGCAGACAGTCACATACTCTGAGCAACCCCAGTAAAAGCCAGCTACATGCCACATATGTCAAAAAACGCATTTTAAAAGATGATAGAAGCTAGAAATTACCCACATATGTCAAAAAACGCATTTTAAAAGATAGAAGCTAGAAATTATGCAAAATTGCAGCACTCTGAATTTAAGTACTTTTACTATTTGCCTTAAGCTTCTGATTAGAACAAGAAATCGATATAACTGCTCCTTGTTCCTTCATCTTCTCCAACCTTCTCCCCCACTTTTTTTTTTAAGCTTTTACAATGGCTATGACAACAGCTACCCTTGTTCATAATTCCCATGAACTCAAGATAGGAAATCATTCTGAGGTTGAAGTGCATGGGTGAATGAGCGGGTGGGAGCAACAACAATAAAAAAAAATTATGGTTACAAATGACTATTTTCAACCTACCAAAGCTTTCATCTCGTAATAATGAATGCTAAACCTTTCAAAGCACTAGTTGGATAATTACAACATTTCCAAGGTTCCTGCAGAATTTTCACCACTCATTTCAAATCTCTCTCCATGACAAATTGAAGATAGACTTTATAGCTTTAAAAGTATTTTTCATTTTTATCATTTCAAGAATTGTATTGATTTAGAACTTGCTTAAATTACAACACAGGCATCTTTAAGGCTGTACAAAAGGCTCAGATTTTATATGCCATACAGAAGTGCAGACCTAAAGGACTGGAAGCAACATGAATGAACAGCATGAAAACAGTTCAAGTGGGACAAAACACTTAACAATTGGAATGCATGCACTTTTGTGGATACATACAGCAGGGTTTTTTTAAACTAAATGTAACAGCCGTATTTTGTATTAAAAATATACTGCACAATAATTGTTACTACACTGGTGACATCCTTCAAACGAATGGGAATTAATAATTAAAAACAAACCATCAAGTCAAATTGATTATTACTACTATAAAAAGTGCATCTAGTGAAACAACAATGCTGAAGCTTAAGTTTTAGCTAACTCTGTTATGACTACTAAAGCACAGCAATCCTTATGCTCCAGAATTAAGCCAAATAACCAGATCCAAATCTGGCCTTGAAAAGGGCAGCTGATAAGATGCATTATATGTGCTGTGGGATCTCTTCCCTCCAAGAGGAGACAAAAATCTGTTATATGCAGTTTCAGTACAAGGGCCACTTTACCTTGAAACACTAAATCAACTGCTTTGAATACATTCATTATAAAGCAAATACTTGTAATTGCTGTATTTATCAATCTATTCGCCACACTTTCGAAGAGCCATAAAAATCATCAGCCCAGTTGCTAAAAAGTCAAGAATGTCTACCTCAGGGCATTTCATAGCAAAGAAAAGATGAACAAAAGAAAAATAACTGTACAGTCCATGGAAAAACTCCAGAAACACCAGAAAATATATATCACAACAGTCCGGAAAAAACATATTACAAGTCAAGGAAGCAGCAGCATACCCAAGTATGCAAATATGTGCCTCAGTACAACTAACATGCCTCCTCCAAAGTCTTAACATGCTAACTGCCCACAGTTGGTAAGAGATGTCACAAGATGGAATGAAAGCATGGCAGGGGGAAAGCTGGCACCCAAGTAGAGCTGGAAGCTGCTGCCACTCAACAGTGTCATGGAACCAAGAGAAAGATCAGGACAGCACTGACAGAAATGCTTTAAATGCATTCTCCCCGAGGCACGAGGATGTTCTGTACATGTCTACTCATGCCTATCAAGACATGAATGCTCAAGTTTACAGGACCCTTGGGTAAAAAAAATAATGCTGAGATGTAGTTCCACAACTTTCCCCTCTGAGCTGTTTAATAAGCCATCTTTGACAACTCACTCTCTTCCCAATCCCTCAATCTTCTCCTAGACAGGTTTACATTTTTTTTTAATTATGGAACCCATTTGCTTAGCTGCCCTTTGTCCACACATAATAGTTTATTAAATACTAAAATGACATAATATAGGGAAGTCAAAACAAAGTGCACAGGGATTCACAAACGTAACATTTCTAATCAGGAAAGCTCGTGGGTCACTTGTAACAAGGTGACAAAACTGTAACCCCTGTCCTACCGATGATGGAAGATCTCATTCAGTATGCTTTTCCCTCATAGCATGTAAACAGTAATAGCAGACTTACAGCATGTTTAACTTCATATTCATTATTTAAATAATCTCTAATACACTAGTATTCAACCAACTCGCTACCATGTTGGATTTCAGTCAAAGGAACAACATTCCTGAAGAATTTTCCACAGCAGAGTAAGATTTAAATAGGAAAGGTGAAGCAAGGATTGCAAGAGTATTCCCATTAAGCATAGACTCCAAAAACAAAACAACCCCCCCCCCACAAACAAGCCAACAATACCACTCAATAAACCTGAACTATCTGACCTGCCACAGGCTGTTGTGCAAAATAGAACAGGAAGAACAGAAACACTTCACTTTTGCTCAAAAAACGAGATAGGATATGGTCCTACACAGTTAAGAAGAGTGATATGGAGGAGATGAGAGTTCCTCAAGCCCTCAAAGCAGGCAAATGACTTGTAACTACTCTGAACGAAGCAGAGATACATGAAAGGACAGGTCTGCATATAAGGAAGCACAGCAATCAAGAAAAATATTTTAACTGCATTGAAGCGGGTCATATAAAAATCAATTATAAAGTTAAACTAAGGTATTCAAATGCTTTCCCTTACAGGAAAAAAAAAAAAAAAAAAGCAATGTAACCTTTTATTTGGTGTTTCATCTATGAAAGAGGTGTTCAAGAACATTCATAAAGATAGAGTCTTCCTGACATGCGATTTCTCACTTTGCTCAAAAACGAAAGATCAACTATCAGAACATAATTCATGTGATGACATACAGCTCAGATGTAACCCTGCAAAAAGCAAATGAAACAAACTAGTTGTCATCAGAAAACACAAGGGGGTGGGGACAGATGGGAATTATATTGCAAGATAAGCAGCTAAACCACATTGAAAACACAAAGTAAAGTAGATAGTCCAAGTGAAGAAAAACAAACAAGAAAGATAACATGTGAACAGAGAGAATCTGGATGACAGCCAGCTGCAGGAAAAATGTAACAAGACCAGCAGCACAGCATCATAGAGAAAAGACTGCAAGAAGCACCAGCTAAACCTGGAGGCAGCAGCACCCGCTTGTACCACAGAAGTGACAGGGGACGCAGGACTCATTAAGAAAAATACCTTCGGAGAAGAGAAGGTCTAGCCCTGCTTTGAACAATCACATCCAGCCCACTCTTGCTTCTGAATTTTGGGGAATATCTGATTATTAAGAGTAATAAATTACTTCACTCATGACCGTTTACTCATGAGACTAGTTGAATTGGAGACATTATAACCATGACAAGTTTCAAAAGCACAGAAGGCAGCAACTCAGTTTCCCTAAACAGGCCATCAGCTCAACTTCTCAATGGGAAGAGCTCACCAGCTGCTGAGTGCACCAAAAAAGACAGGTGACCCAGAAGAACAGTATGCACTAAAAAAAAGTATGTAATGATGAACTTTTAATCTTTAGGAGAAAATTCACTGCATTCTCTGCATTTATGTTATTTAATATATCTTCAATCACAGAATGTTAGGGGTTGGAAGAGAACTCAAATGACCACCTAGTCCAAAGCAGGACCGCCTAGAGTAGATCACACAGGAATGCGTCCAGGAGGGTTTTGAATGTCTCCAGAGAAGGAGACTCCACAACTTCTCTGGACAGCCTGTTCCAGTGCTCTGTCACCCCAATAGTGAAAAAAGTTTTTCTTTATGTTAATGTGGAATGTCCTATGCTCCAGCTTGCACTCGTTGCCCCTTGTCCTGTCGTCGTCCATCACCAAGAAGAGCCTGACTCCATCCTCCTGACACTCGTCCTTTACATCAATTGTTTACTGAAACAGGAAGAAAGACCTACCCAGAGCTCTAGGCAATAAGGCTGCAGACCTTCATTCCCTGCATCAGATTCACTCTTCATAAATGTGTTTGACTTCCACACAGTTTATATAAATAAAGCACACTTGATTTTGCTCACTGAAGCTAAAGTAGACAAACTCTGCAATGTTTACATGCTACTGTCTCACATCCTTATGGAGAAGCACACAAGTAGCAAAACCAGATCTGTTATACCAGTACTCACAGGGAAACACCATATCAGCACCCAACCTACAGGCTGCATTTTTAAAAACTGTAAAGCACTATAATTGCCACATTTATTTTGGAATGGAATATTACATCTTAAATAATAAATCTCCTTCAACCTCGATCACAGAAGTTGTTGCAGTTCTGCATGTACATGAACTCAAAACACCTTCTGTTTGTGTAACCTGTTGCATGCTTGTAAATTAGATAGCCAAAGTCCCAGACTGAACTGCGTGTAGATGGAGCTGTACAGCAAACCACAACATTTACAGTAAGTTAAAGAGGGCATTATTAGGTCTAGGGGAAAAAAACCTAAACAAAAACAAAAACCAAAAATATTTCAGCCTCCACTATTACTTTATCAGTTCCAAAAGCTTATTACTATTTTATTACCTGTGCACTGTACCCACTTTCAGAACCATTCTGTTATAAACTCCAACCACTAAACTAGCTAGTAATTTCATCCCTACTGAAAAGGGGAACCAAAAGGCATTTTCAACAAACAGGCAGAATTTCAATTGTTCTCTCTTCAACAAATGTAGATCAAGAATACTAAAGTATTTACAAGTACCACCATTTTGGCAAGTGTAAGTTTAGTATTGCATTAACTTTTCCCATAATCCATCAATATAAAGCTGACTTGGCTCCAAAAAGTAAAACCTGGGCTAGTGGACGGAAGAAGGGGTCGAATCCCTGTGTAAATGAAGGGGAAGTTTTGCTGGCCATGCAAGCATGGAACACAAGCACAAATTCTGACTTGTGGATTCTTTAAGCTCCTGCGTCCTGTCCTGTTTGTGGCAATCTTTTTAGCTGACTGTGCACAAACAGTACAAGTCCTGTTCACAGATACTGAAAGGAAGCAGAAAATAGAATTTGAAATGTAAAAATAAAATAATTGTGAGCCACAGGGTATAATCTGATTTCATGCTTTACAAGGAAATGAAAGACGACTTCCTTAAACATACTTTTTTTTTTTTTTTTCAAATATGCTTTTTACCATGTTAGGATTTCCTCTAGTGCAGGAGAGAAAATAGGATTGTAGAAAATGTACTGTTCTCAAGTATCATTGCTACTTGAGGGGCAAAGCTCTGTTTTAATGTGCACTTCCCATTCTGGGCAAGAGGAAATTCTTCAATTAATAAACCGGCTGGACTGAGGCGAGTTTTTAAGGTTTAATCAATTTCATCTGCACATAGGATAAAAAGACCAACTATTCTACCATTTTTGCCTCCCTTATTCCCCTTTCAAAAAAAAAAATAATACAATCAATGTTTTATTTTAAATTCTTTGAGGCTAGTATCTCCTGTCTCAGGAAATATTATCTATATCATGCAGCGAGTATGAAACATTCCCCTTCCAAGCCCCTGTCCCCCCCTTTTTTTGTCAAGAATTTTTATTCAGAAACAACTACATTATTCTCTGCTTTCATATACAGTAACATCTTGGGAGATGCTACAAAGTCACACAGGATTTTGCTAGGTACCTTAGGGGAGGCATTGTGATGAATAAGGAAGATGTTTTACAGGATCAGAAATCTCACAAAATTTAAACAGAAATCGGAAGCGTGAGCTGGGAGAGACACGTGCACACAACTGGAATGCATAAATCACATATGAAGAAACCCTCTGTAAAGCAATGCAAATCATGGATCAAAACTGATACCATAACTTTCGTTAGGAAACACTTTGAAAAGAACAGGAACTGGTTGAGTTCAAGCATCCCACCACCGTTTCCCAGGCACGCCGTTCCTAAAGATATAAGCAGCTGTAAGCACAAACAGGGAGCTGTGCACCTTCAAAATATCAATAGCTTGAAACATCTCTGACAGTGAGGGTCAGACTGACAACCCACAAGACTTCTTTTTGAATGCAGAGTAAAGTTTAGAACTATACACATGATATTTTATTTCTGAACAATAAAGAAACAGCTGGTTGCACAAATTCCCTTTAAATGAAAACCAGCCACTATGGTCTTTCCTAAACTGAGAGCTACAAAGAGAAAGCAGGATGACCATAATGGCATAACTCTAAGAAGTCCATTTCTTATATGTCAAATAACCTGTCTTTTACAGTTACTTATTTGTAATCCCAAGTTCAACTCAACTACAAACAGCAAATGATGGAAAGAGATAACTGCCAATAAGGAATAGAGGAGTTCTGCAAAAGACCTCACACAAGAATCCACTTGGAATATACTTCATCTCCCAGATGAAACAGTGTGCAATACTGCACTGAAGAGGATAAAGGCAATGAAAGCCTCTACCCTCTCCTTTGTCAAGTCATCCAAGGATCTTGCTTGAATGTTCTAACTACGTGTCAGAAATAAGTCTGTGTTCTTCAAAGGGTGGAAATGCCTATAACGATTAGAGTATGTCAATAAGCTTGATTGGCCATGCTGAATTAGCACGAACAAAGCTGATAAGGCCTCCATGAAGGTCACACTAAGAAAGACTGAGGGATATCCTCCAATAATTTATTATATGCTGATCTAGCTATTGCAATATTGCACAGGAATAAGGTTATATTAAACGGATGACTTACTGAGCAAAAAACCCAAACAAACCTTAAAGTGGAAACTCTCAAAAAAAGCATTACAAGACAGGAAGAAAGAAGGTCATCAGGAGATCCTTTGCAAGATTTTACAGAATGTAAGGAGTCCCATGTTGCCTTTAGCCTCTTCGGAGAAGTGTTGTACACTGGGCCATCCGCGAAGCCCTAAATAATCTTGGGAAACTTGATCTAGCTTAGAGGTGGCGCATTATAGATGGCTGGTCCACCTTTAAGGGCTAAAACCCAGATGAATTCTAGAGGTTGCTTCCACAAACTATTTTGAGGAGACAATGCTGTAAAGAGGGAAAACACTTCAAAAAGCCACAAAAGTGTAGAGTGAGACTTGCCCATATGCACTTTCTAGGGATGCCTGGAGATCTTAGGCCTAAGTAATTCATTTTATGGGAAGATAAGCTTCCAGCAGAACAAGTATACACATAGACTAATTAAAGTCCATTTTTTTCCTCCTCTCCAAGTTATTCTTACTACAAAGCAAATACTTTAAGTTTTCTCACTCCACGTTTCTGGTTACAGTCTCTGAAAGACATGTGAATGCTGTCAGACTTCTGGGTCAGGAGCTGTAGTGCAAGGGGAGCAGTGGGGCATTCCAGCCCACAACAGGCAAGCATAGGAGGCCTGGGAGTTGAGGTGGGCTACTCTGAAAACATGTTTTAAAAAAAGATACACTTGACCCTGTGACACTCACAAAAATCTAGCATTGAGCCGTTGACCTGATATCTCTCGATGTATTAGATTCCAACAACTCCCCAATTTAATTTGGAGAACAGTAAGGGCTCGCACTGCTTAGTCAGCAGCAATGGTTACAGAGAAGACTTATTCTGAGGTCTTTACTCTTCTTCGGCTGAGGGAGATCAAAAGCACCAGCCTCAG